ATCCACAAATATATCCCCTGATGGATACAATTGTAAAACACCCGGTATCCACAAATATATCCCTGATGGATACAATTCTAAAACACCCGGTATCTACAAATATGTCCCCTGAGCGATACAATTGTAAAACACCCGGTATCCACAAATATATCCCCTGATGGATACAATTCTAAACCACCCGGTATCCACAAATATGTCACCTGATCGATACAATTGTAAAACATCCGGTATCCACAAATATATTCCCTGATGGATACAATTCTAAAACACCCGGTATCCACAAATATGTCACCTGATGGATACAATTGTAAAGCACCCGGTATCCACAAATATGTCCCCTGATGGATATAATTCTAAAACAGCTGGCATCCACAAATATATCCCCTGATGGATACAATTCTAAAACACCCGGTATCCACAAATATATCACCTGATGGATACAATTCTAAAACATCCGGTATCTACAAATATGTCACCTGATGGATATAATTCTAAAACACCCGGTATCCACAAATATGTCACCTGATGGATACAATTCTAAAACACCCGGTATCCAAAAATATGTCACCTGATGGATACAATTGTGAAACACCCGGTATCCACAAATATGTCCCCTGATGGATATAATTCTAAAACAGCTGGCATCCACAAATATATCCCCTGATGGATACAATTCTAAAACACCCGGTATCCACAAATATATCCCCTGATGAATACAATTCCTAAAAATCCCCGATGGATGGTATCATCCGGTATCCACAAAATATATCCCCTGATGAATACAATTCTAAAACATCCGGTATCCACAACTATATCCCCTGATGGATACAATTCTAAAACACCCGGTATCCACAAATATGTCACCTGATGGATACAATTCTAAAACACCTGGTATCCACAAATATATCCCTTGATGAATACAATTGTAAAACACCTGGTATCCACAAATATATCCCCTGATGAATACAATTGTAAAACATCCGGTATCCACAAATATATCCCCTGATGGATATAATTCTAAAACATCCGGTATCCACAAATATATCCCCTGATGGATATAATTCTAAAACATCCGGTATCCACAAATATATCCCTGATGGATATAATTCTAAAACACCTGGTATCCACAAATATATCCCCTGATGGATATAATTGTAAAACACCCGGTATCCACAAATATATCACCTGATGGATACAATTCTAAAACACCCGGTATCTACAAATATGTCCCCTGAGCGATACAATTGTAAAACACCCGGTATCCACAAATATATCCCCTGATGGATACAATTCTAAACCACCCGGTATCCACAAATATGTCACCTGATCGATACAATTGTAAAACATCCGGTATCCACAAAATATATCCCTGATGGATACAATTCTAAAACACCCGGTATCCACAAATATGTCCCTGATGGATATAATTCTAAAACAGCTGGCATCCACAAATATATCCTGATGGATACAATTCTAAAACACCGGTATCCACAAATATATCCCCTGATGGATACAATTCTAAAACACCCGGTATCCACAAATATCCCTGATGGATACAATTCTAAAACACCCATAACAATATCCCTGATGGATACAATTCTGTATCCGAAACACCCGGTATCCACAAATATATCACCTGATGGATACAATTCTAAAACACCCGGTATCCACAAATATGTCACCTGATGGATACAATTCTAAAACACCCGGTATCCACAAATATGTCACCTGATGGATACAATTGTAAAACACCCGGTATCCACAAATATATCCTATCTGATGGATACAATTAAAACACCCGGTATCCACAAATATATCCCCTGATGGATATAATTCTAAAACACCCGGTATCCACAAATATATCCTAAAACACCTGGTATCCACAAATATATCACCTGATGGATACAATTCTAAAACACCTGGTATCCACAAATATATCCCCTGATGGATACAATTCTAAAACACCTGGTATCCACAAATATGTACCCCTGAGCGAATACAATTGTAAAACACCGGTATCCACAAATATATCCCTGATGGATACAATTCTAAAACACCCGGTATCCACAAATATGTCCCTGATGGATACAATTGTAAAACATCCGGTATCCACAAATATATCCCCTGATGGATACAATTCTAAAACCGGTATCCACAAATATATCCCCCTGATGGATACAACACTGTAAAACACCCGGTATCCACAAATGATGGATATAATTCTAAAACACCTGGTATCCACAAATATATCCCCTGATGGATACAATTCTAAAACACCCGGTATCCACAAATATATCACCTGATGGATACAATTCTAAAACATCCGGTATCTACAAATATGTCACCTGATGGATAAAATTCTAAAACACCCGGTATCCACAAATATGTCACCTGATGGATACAATTCTAAAACACGCGGTATCCAAAAATATGTCACCTGATGGATACAATTGTGAAACACCCGGTATCCACAAATATATCCCCTGATGAATACAATTGTAAAACACCCGGTATCCACAAATATGTCCCCTGATCGATACAATTGTAAAACATCCCGTATCCACAAATATATTCCCTGATGGATACAATTCTAAAACACCCGGTATCCACAAATATGTCCCTGATGGATACAATTGTAAAGCACCCGGTATCCACAAATATGTCCCCTGATGGATATAATTCTAAAACAGCTGGCATCCACAAATATATCCCCTGATGGATACAATTCTAAAACACCCGGTATCCACAAATATATCACCTGATGAATACAATTCTAAAACATCCGGTATCCACAAATATATCCCCTGATGAATACAATTCTAAAACATCCGGTATCCACAACTATATCCCCTGATGGATACAATTCTAAAACACCCGGTATCCACAAATATGTCACCTGATGGATACAATTCTAAAACATCCGGTATCTACAAATATGTCACCTGATGGATATAATTCTAAAACACCCGGTATCCACAAATATGTCAACTGATCGATACAATTCTAAAACAGCCGGTATCCAAAAATATGTCACCTGATGGATACAATTGTGAAACACCCGGTATCCACAAATATATCCCCTGATGAATACAATTGTAAAACACCCGGTATCCACAAATATATCCCCTGATGGATATAAATCTAAAACACCCGGTATCCACAAATATGTCACCTGATGGATACAATTCTAAAACACCTGGTATCCACAAATATATCCCCTGATGGATACAATTCTAAAACACCTGGTATCCACAACTATATCCACTGATGAATACAGTTCTAAAACATCCGGTATCCGAAAATATGTCACCTGATGGATACAATTGTAAAACACCCGGTATCCACAAATATATCACCTGATGAATACAATTGTTAAACACCCGGTATCCACAAATATAACCCCTGATGGATACAATTGTAAAACCCGTAATCCACAAATATATCCCCTGATGAATACAATTGTAAAACACCCGGTATCCACAAATATATCCCCTGATGGATATAATTCTAAAACACCCGGTATCCACAAATATGTCACCTGATGGATACAATTCTAAAACACCTGGTATCCACAAATATGTCACCTGATGGATACAATTCTAAAACACCTGGTATCCACAAATATATCCCCTGATGGATATAATTCTAAAACACCTGGTATCCACAAATATATCCCCTGATGGATACAATTCTAAAACACCTGGTATCCACAACTATATCCACTGATGAATACAATTCTAAAACATCCGGTATCCGAAAATATGTCACCTGATGAATACAATTGTTAAACACCCGGTATCCACAAATATAACCCCTGATGGATACAATTGTAAAACAAACCGGTATCCACAAATATATCCCCTGATGAATACAATTGTAAAACACCCGGTATCCACAAATATATCCCCTGATGAATACAATTCTAAAACACAAATATATCCCCTGATGGATACAATTCTAAAACACCCGGTATCCACAAATATGTCACCTGATGGATACAATTCTAAAACACCCGGTATCCACAAATATATCCCTTGATGAATACAATTGTAAAACACCCGGTATCCACAAATATATCCACTGATGCAGATAAATTTAAAACACCCGGTATCCACAAATATATCCGATGACGGATAAGCTGAGCGGGTTTCGGGTGGTGGCATCAGTGCAGCTGTGTCTGCATCCAAACCTTGACCTTCTGACGGACACTGACATACATCCACGGAATCCTCCCTCAGTTGATGTGGAGGTACTGTAAACCAGATGCCCCCGTTACAACAATACAAGTCACCTCGCCCTCCCCACTGCCCTGTACACGAATTGTTTATATCTCATTATGTATGTTTGTTTGGAGCGCATGTCCCGCCACAGGGCCCGCACACCCTGGACGACAGGCTAGGAGGGACTGATTCCACTGGGAAGGGGGGTGTGATGCTCTCGGGAAGACCTTGACACTTCAACACATTTGTTCTACGCGGTTGCAAGTAGTATTGGACTACTGACAAACACCCCTCCCGGCAGTAAATATACTTCTTGGAACTTGAAAGTGCCACTCCGCACAAAATTATGCTGATTTTACCATTTTCTCCGCATGTTTAGTATGCTAATTACCTCGCACATATAACACATGATGAGTGTGTGAACGTTTATGGTTTTTTTTGAACGTTTATGTAACAGCATCAGTGATTCAGACACTCGCTAAACTCCAAGAACATGTTTTCACCTTGTTGAACAGGCAACGAAAAAAGTAGCCAATGTACATAAAACACTTAATCCATGTCAGAAGAATCTTCCCCGAGGGAGGAATAAATTATTTATCAGGAATATATTACATTAAACGTAATGCGACGTGTAGCAATATTACCTGAAGGATTTCAGATCGCATAACGAAACTGACCAATGAAGGGGAATTGAGAAACGTCTTAAATATATTCTATTCGCGTTCAATATTCATTACAATTTTATTGTAGGTGAGAAAATGTTGAGAAAGTAACACTAACCTGTAGCTCCTCGCCCCTCGCACCAAACAAGTGGTGGAGTTATTTTTGTGTGTAAATGTGCCCGAGTTGGGGGCCGTGTGCAGAGCAGGGGGCGGGAGATGCTGCGAGCTTGGCGTTGTTCATTCTCCTAGCAGTTTGTTGTTGCCATGGAAACTAAATGCATCGGGATACAGATTCGAAGATGAGTGTTTTCTTGGTGGATCGTGTCCATGTGCGCTGCATCTGATACACGGCAACATCAATGAACCGAGGCAGGCGCTGTCTTAGTTTTGTCTGTGCGATGTTTAACGCAGCGCTCAGCAATTTCCCAGCTATACCACTGCTGTATGTAAATAATCGACGTCCACCACACGATCCTGTGATATATGAAATTGATGTTACCTACAGCGGCAGAAGACCTTCCCGTTCCAATATGTCCCCGAAGTTTTTAACACTTTTAGTAATAAGTGAATAGACAATCTTTTATGTCGCTTTATCAATATTTCCAGTGATGGTGACATCAGAAAGATATCCCCCAATGTTTCCACGAGAGACATCGGACACGTGGCCCTGTACGTCTTGAACCGACAGGCGTGTCACCTGACCTGACCGGGAGCCGTCTGCTCACTAACAGTGGTGTGCCATGTATAGCTGGCAACCGTGATGAACGACCCAAACTTATACAGCATCATCAACACCATCAGCTTCGCAGTACGACTTTGATGAAACCCACAGGCGCTTGCATGGTAACGTAGGGACATATAACCGAATACTGGGAATCGAACCCATGATCCCAGGTTTCTAACCCCCTCCCCCTCCCAACACACACACACCCTACACTACACTACACACACTACATCTCTCTATCTCTTGCTAACACACACACACACTCCCTCTCTCTCTCTCTCTCTCTCTCTCTCTCTCTCTCTCTCTCTCTCTCTCTCTCTCTCTCTCTCTCTCTCTCTCTCTCTCTCCACAGACGACTTGACGGTAATTAGGTTTTCGTTTTAAAATTGAATTGACTGTTACAAATTATATCCAAACGTTACCGAGATCAACATTCGCGGAAACAGTGCAAACTTAACGTCATGAAGTCAAGGACATATATAGCATTTGAGGAAGAGAGCTATACAAGGGTATTATTTGTAGGAAACAACCATACAAAGGATATATTTACTATTACCCAGCGTGATGCCACCGTGTATTGCACGCGCACATACACACACAGACACAAACACACCGACAAATACACACAGACACAAACACATACCCAGCCTCACACGGACGCACACAGAGACTCAGGCATGCACGCACACACACACCGGTTCGTCTACATCAATAGCTGATGTGTCCTCATTTCCAGTAATTACTGCTTGGAGAAGTCATGGTGACCCTATCTAATTGTATATAATAGTTTCCCCAACCACTTGGCAAACGACACATGTTGATAGTTAGCCAATAGACTGGTTATGACACGCCAGCAGGCAATAAATATCACTGCTGACATTTCAGTCCAAGCTATTATTCTATGTACAAATAATGTCTAATAGGGATAGAAGTATGCAACTTGACATGCATCGTGTACTTCAAAAGTGACCTCGTGTTTTCCCAAAGGTTCACAAACACAACACATGTAATGTAAAGACTTGATATGTTATAATTGTCTTCACCAAGGGTGCTTCCTGGACGAACCAGAAGAGGTAGTCACGGACACTGGAGGGACGGTGGGGTAGGTGTTGACAGTCCCCCGACAGTCCGTGTTCGATTTACCGACCCTGAACGGGACTCGTTGTTCCAGGAATATCACCAGACGCAGTACTAGTGTACAGCATCACTCTAGCTGGTACCCCTGCACCATCAACATCTCAATCCACATCAACAGTTCGGTGGTGGCAAAGGAGAGTTGCGTCCCCTAGACTCCGGCGATGACGTTCACAAATCACAGACATTCCATACATTATACTCACGACTGCTGTCAAATGTTAGAAAAGCGTTATCGAAACAAGGGTAAAACATATTCTACCATAACTTCAGTAAATACTGGATTGTGATTGGTTAATCAAAGTCATTCAGAGGTATATAATCACGTTAAACACCTCTGATTTTCCAACACAGTAAATTAAATCTTAATAACACAGTTGTGGTAGAGTGGAGATAAACGTACTGTATTGGAAATAATAAAAGCTCTAAATGTGGTTTAAAACCGAACGCGTAGCGTACCTCTGATTTTCCAACACAGTATGTCTATCTCCTAAGTGTGCGTATTATGTGTATATCAATCGTTTTAACAAGACTTCAGGTCACTGTGGACTCTAGACGTCTAACCATTTTAGTACCAGTGTGTTTTTAATCCTTCAAACGTATTTTGTCAGGTGAAGGTAAACAGAATCCGGTTATGTGAAACAGATTATAATATAGGTGCTACCTACATCTCCCACAAGTGCGGCATCTGTACGAGGTTACAGTCCTTGGTTCCGGGATCAGCGTGTATTCACTCTACCCTGTCCCACTTCACACTGGCAAGACAGGTGAGCGCGCGCAACACAAATAAAGAAGAGATCACACAAACAGATCTCAGTGACTTTTCCGAGAAGGGAATTTGCAATTATGCGCTGGCTTCAGTGGGGACTGCAGCCCTTGGACCCTGGTGTTGAAGTTCTGTGTCCATACATTTTACGTGTTATCTGTCAGTACTCACTCTGAGTGACAACTTTGGCGACCATTCCATGGCATCAAAGGGCACCATATGATCCCGTCTGTACAGTCGACTGAAAACACCCTTGGAAGCAGACAGTAGGTTCATATCCAACATTTGGCGATCCAATGGATGCTGATGCAGTTTGGTCAAAGAATGAGTATCCTTGTTGGTCAAAGAATGAGTATCCTTGTTGGTCAAAGCACGAGTATCTTTGTTGGGCAAAGCATGAGTATCCTTGTTGGTCAAAGCACGAGTATCCTTGTTGGTCAAAGCATGAGTATTCTTGTTGGTCAAAGCACGAGTATCCTTGTTGGTCAAAGCACGACTATCCTTGTTGGTCAAAGCACGAGTATCCTTGTTGGTCAAAGCATGAGTATCCCTGTTGGTTAAAACATGAGTATCCTTGTTGGTCAAAGTATGAGTATCCTTGTTGGTCAAAGCACGAGTGTCCGTGTTGGTCAAAGCACGAGTGTCCGTGTTGGTCAAAATATGAGTATCCTTGTTGGTCAAAGTATGAGTATCCTTGTTGGTCAAAGCACGAGTATCCTTGTTGGTCAAAGCATGAGTATCCTTGTTGGTCAAAGTATGAGTATCCTTGTTGGTTAAGATATGAGTATCCTTGTTGGTCAAAGCACGAGTATCCTTGTTGGTCAAAGCATGAGTATCCTTGTTGGTTAAATCATGAGTATCCTTGTTGGTCAAAGCACGAGTATCCTTGTTGGTTAAAACATGAGTATCCTTGTTGGTCAAAGCACGAGTATCCTTGTTGGTTAAAACATGAGTATCCTTGTTGGTCAAAGCACGAGTATCCCTGTTGGTTAAAACATGAGTATCCTTGTTGGTCAAAGCACGAGTATCCTTGTTGGTTAAAACATGAGTATCCTTGTTGGTCAAAGCATGAGTATCCTTGTTGGTCAAAGCACGAGTATCCTTCTTGGTCAAAGCACGAGTATCCTTGTTGGTTAAAACATGAGTATCCTTGTTGGTCAAAGCACGAGTATCCCTGTTGGTTAAAACATGAGTATCCTTGTTGGTCAAAGCATGAGTATCCTTGTTGGTCAAAGCATGAGTATCCTTGTTGGTCAAAGTATGAGTATCCTTGTTGGTTAAAATATGAGTATCCTTGTTGGTCAAAGCACGAGTATCTTTGTTGGTAAAAGCGTGAGTATCCTTGTTGGTCAAAGTATGAGTATCCTTGTTGGTCAAAATATGAGTATCCTTGTTGGTTAAAACATGAGTATCCTTGTTGGTCAAAGCACGAGTATCCTTGTTGGTCAAAGCATGAGTATCCTTGTTGGTCAAAGTATGAGTATCCTTGTTGGTTAAAATATGAGTATCCTTGTTGGTCAAAGCACGAGTATCCTTGTTGGTCAAAGCATGAGTATCCTTGTTGGTCAAAGTATGAGTATCCTTGTTGGTTAAAATATGAGTATCCTTGTTGGTCAAAGCACGAGTATCCTTGTTGGTCAAAGCACGAGTATCCTTGTTGGTTAAAGCATGAGTATCCTTGTTGGTCAAAGCACGAGTATCCTTGTTGGTTAAAACATGAGTATCCTTGTTGGTCAAAGCACGAGTATCCTTGTTGGTTAAAACATGAGTATCCTTGTTGGTCAAAGCACGAGTATCCTGTTGGTTAAAACATGAGTATCCTTGTTGGTCAAAGCACGAGTATCCTTGTTGGTTAAAACATGAGTATCCTTGTTGGTCAAAGCATGAGTATCCTTGTTGGTCAAAGCACGAGTATCCTTGTTGGTTAAAACATGAGTATCCTTGTTGGTCAAAGCACGAGTATCCTTGTTGGTTAAAACATGAGTATCCTAGTTGGTCAAAGCACGAGTATCCCTGTTGGTTAAAACATGAGTATCCTTGTTGGTCAAAGCACGAGTATCCTTGTTGGTTAAAACATGAGTATCCTTGTTGGTCAAAGCACGAGTATCCTTGTTGGTTAAAACATGAGTATCCTTGTTGGTCAAAGCACGAGTATCCTTGTTGGTTAAAACATGAGTATCCTTGTTGGTCAAAGCATGAGTATCCTTGTTGGTCAAAGCATGAGTATCCTTCTTGGTCAAAGTATGAGTATCCTTGTTGGTTAAAATATGAGTATCCTTGTTGGTCAAAGCACGAGTATCCTTGTTGGTCAAAGCATGAGTATCCTTGTTGGTCAAAGTATGAGTATCCTTGTTGGTTAAAATATGAGTATCCTAGTTGGTCAAAGCACGAGTATCCCTGTTGGTTAAAACATGAGTATCCTTGTTGGTCAAAGCACGAGTATCCTTGTTGGTTAAAACATGAGTATCCTTGTTGGTCAAAGCACGAGTATCCTTGTTGGTTAAAACATGAGTATCCTTGTTGGTCAAAGCACGAGTATCCCTGTTGGTTAAAACATGAGTATCCTTGTTGGTCAAAGCATGAGTATCCTTGTTGGTCAAAGCATGAGTATCCTTGTTGGTCAAAGTATGAGTATCCTTGTTGGTTAAAATATGAGTATCCTTGTTCGTCAAAGCACGAGTATCCTTGTTGGTCAAAGC